CTCACTAGGTATAGTTAGGGAGGTCTTAAATGTGCCTAGAATCTTCCTACACGCTCTATTTTGTAGTAATTGCCTTTGTTTAAGAGCTAGTTGTTGTTGTTTCTAGAAGATCTAACAACCATAGTCTGCTACGCTAGTGATGCAGGCAAGGTATAATTGTCTAAAGGCTCTAGGTGATAGGCCTTTATTGCTATTTGCTAGTCTGCTTAGCCGAGTAAAGGCTTAGTTTGCCTGTTGATTTCTAATAAAGCAGTGATCCTTGAACTTAAGGGCTTTGTCAAAGTAGATGCCTAGCCATCTAATTTGCTGTTTTGGTTGAAAGGTCTCCTGGGTGGGTAGTGTGAGAGAATCTTGATCCTTTTTTGATCTAGTCCAATTTACTAGTTCAGTCTTTGAGCTGTCGAATTTGATTGCTAGCTCCTCTGCTAGGTTAAAGAGTTTTTGGGTCTCTTTTTCTAGTAATTTAACGTTTTTCTTACAACCACCAACTTCGAGTTTTCTAGAAACCGCTAGGAAAGCACGCTATCTAGGAGAACCGACCACGAGGAATCGACTAACAGCACTTTCAACATCTGCAGCTAAGGCGCTAGCGCGCAGTAGGGAGAAGAAGGAGGCCTTCCTTCGTTATCTCACGCCTGTGAGAATTTTCTCACAGAGCTTGGGCTCTAATGCCAAGACTAGAGGGGCTAATAGGAACGTAGGAGCTTATTAAAGTTTAAATTTAGTAAGAAACACAGACATATTAAAACAATAAAAATAACAAAAAAAGACTAGCCTTAAAGGACCTTAGAGGCACAAGCAAACGACTAATGGATAATAATCTAGAAATTGAGATGGCTGAGGAGGCCTCTACGCCTTGCCCTAACAGGCAACTAGAAGAACCGCCTAGTGTTACACGGGGTTGGGTGCTGATACTTCTCTAAGCTCGACCCGGGTTAGGGCGAGTGAGATGGGTGAGGAGCGCCGTGAGGTAGTTGTCTGGCGATGCAGTGGAGTGGGCGTGCTTGTAAGATAGATAACAATAGGTTTGACAATTCCTAATCTATATCGAATAGACTGACAAGTACCAATCTTATGAAGTTAAGTAACTAGTAAGAAAGTACAATTTGAGTTGACTACAACGAGAGTAAATAATGAAATTCATCCATCCTTATATCCTCATTGCTTCTAGTCCTGTCCTCCCTGGCTTCCTATCTTGGCGGGAGGTTTTGGGAGGACGTTGGCCTCCCCATCTGCAGTGGCCTCCCGGAGGCCATGCCTTGGCGGGATGCCAAGTCACGTGATCTCGCCCCGCGATGATCATCCTTTCTGTTGGGATCCCCAGTGGTTTCCCAACTATCTCTCGTCATACCCAGGAAGAGGATCCTTCTTGCTGTTGCTTGTAACACCTAGGCCTACCCATACTAGGACAAGGAGTAATTTTTCTCCATTTATTGGAGCAGTGCCAAGATACCCTACAGTAGGGAAAACACCAAAGGCAACCTCTATTGAGGAGGCCTTAGAGATTGCTAGAAACCTAGTAATCCAAGCAGCTAACCTAGCTAAAAACAACCCTACTAGGCAAACTAGTTTACTAGACCTTATAGAAGTCTTTAGAGACTTTACAGAGAATAGCAGAGTAAACAAGAAAAACTCTATAATTCTAGGAGACTAAATCTCCTCTCTATCTAACGTCTCTAAAGAACTAAGAGAGAAAGTTAGACGCCTTGAAAAACCAAATACCCCGCCCACCCAACCTCAAGCTTAGCCCCATAGCTCCTACGCAACAGTAGCAGCTAGTAATTAAGAACAACCTTGGACATATATCCAAAAAAAACAAACCAAAAACACATAGAAAAAAACACCCAAAAAGACAACTAAAAAAAGACCACCAGCCTATCAGATCGCCAAATCGTTCTAGTTAGCGATATACCTACGGCATTCGACGCCCTAAAAATCAGAAACGCCTTCAACAAAGCCTTTACAACAAAGGGAGGGGTACAATCCCCAGTAGTAGCCTCAGTAACACCTTCAGCAAAAGGCAAT